CCGGCGCGCAGGTAAGGCCGGCCGCGGCTGCCGAGCCATCGCGTCCCGCCGCCGGGGATCGGCCCGCCGCGCGGGCGCCCCCTCGGGGCTGTGTCAGCACCGCGGCGGTCCCGTCCGTCGGGGGCGGTCCCAGGGGGCGGGACGAATGTCCCCCTCCCCCAGCCCGGTACCCCCGCCGTCGTCGCATCCCGGGCCAGGCGGCTGGTCCCGAGTCCCCTCCCGGGCTGACTACGCGATCATGGGGACTCGGGGTGGGGGTCCCCGGCCCCGCACCTGTGCCCACGTCCTTCTCCCAGGCAGAGGTCAGAGACCTGCGCGACCTCGGGGGCCGGCAAAGTTTCATTTTGCGGTCTGGCTTTGTTGACATCCCAGAGATGCGGGGAGATGGAGGCTGAGCCGCGAGGATGCGCCTTGCGAGCGGCGTTGCCTTTGCCATGGGGTGGCTCTGGTCCAGGTTTCACTTCAGAAGTCCTGCTGAGAGCCGCGCTGCTCCCAGGCAGAGGTCAGAGACCTGCGCGACCGCGGGGGCCGGCAAAGTTTCACTTTGCGGTCTGGCTTTGTTGACATCCCAGAGATGCGGGGAGATGGAGGCTGAGCCGCGAGGATGCGCCTTGCGAGCGGCGTTGCCTTTGCCATGGGGTGGCTCTGGTCCAGGTTTCACTTCAGAAGTCCTGCTGAGAGCCGCGCTGGGGTCGGAGGCTGTTGCAGGGCTCGGGTCTCCCGGCTTCTGCGCTAGCCAGCCGGACTGCAGCAGTCTGGGCACAGCTCAGTCTCGCGCTCTTCCTTCTTCTCCTAATTTAGCGTTGGCATTTAGACCAGGTAGGCGAATTTACTTAGCATTTTCTAACACTTTATGCCTTGCTATTCCTGATTAGTTCATTAATTAATAAGGTGGGAAAAGACCCTCAAACTCATGGGTAGCAGCTTCTTAGAAGCCCAAGGAGGGCTTGAAGCTCTTGGCTTGGGAGATGTTTTCGGCCAAGGAGAGATCCTCATGTCTTCATGTTGCTTGAGCGGGCTTAGGTAGTCACAACAAAGCTTTCTCTGTCTCCCCCTGATTGTGATTTTTATTGAGGGCATCCCGTCTCGGGCACGTTCTCTGGTTTTCTTCAAGAAAGGAAATGGACGCGTGCTGAGGAAGCAGTTAAGGAAAAAACTGAGGCTCAGGTGAGTTTGCATCCGTGTCTGCGCTACCAGGTTACCTCTGCTGTGCAGGAAACCTCAGCTTTTCTTACAAGTTCCCTGTCCATCTTCCCAGTTAGAACTGCATCCAACATTAGGCATTTCTGGTGCCCAATTTCGTCTGAAGACTTCTTGTTACCTGTAGTTTACAGACCTGCCTAGGGACATCTTTTAAGAGAAGGCTTAATTAGCACTTTCATCTACCCATTAAGCAATACACCTTGAAATCCTTTGTAATCAGGCACTGTTGTAGTGCTGAATCTTTAATAATATCTAATTCATTTTAATAGTGTTTCTATAATAACCCTTCTGTTATATGCCAGCTCTGTAGCACCAGGACTTTGAGTATAGAAACAGCAATTTACTGGAAATATTGTCATGGCGAAACAATTCTCTAACAGATTTGCAGCCCACTTTAGTTAGATAATTACTGCTAGCAGTTTTCTTTTTTCTTTTTAATATTTTTTTTTTGGTGCTGTGGGTGTTATAGTGGTTTGATCTATGAGGTCTTTCTGAGGTCATTCGTCCCAGTAGAAATGGTTTCAGCCACTATATAACTTAGATTTTGAACTAAAATCCTGTGAGTTCAGTGGTCCTTAGTGATTTCTTTTGGAATGATGCCAGGTTAACGAGATTTAGCTTTACTTTGCCAGTATATATCTAAAAATGAAGGTGTTTTCTATATTTCGGGAGGTATATTAAAACTACAGTGGTGTGGATAGCACATTTTATTAGTAAAAATACCAAGCACTTTATAGATAATTTATGTAATTTTCACAACTGCCGTACAAAGAAGGTGCAATTAGTACCCTAAATTTGAGAGAAGGAGTTTCAGGCCCAGTTGCTTAACTGAGGTCTGATAAAGAAGAAACAGGCAGATTCTAATCTAGGTAGCCCAGATTCAGAGTTCAAGTCTTTAGTACTGTGTGGTCCTGCCTCTGTAGATTCTTCTTTCCACACGTATTTATTTCTACTTGCTGTTCCTACAGTGTTACATTCTTCACCATAGGCAAGAGAAGAGTGCTTCACAGTGACCCCACAAACCCTAGGTTAGGGGTTCTTACTGCTAGCCTTCACTTTGCAACCAGTACTTCTGTGGTTTTCCTGGAGAAACTGCATCGTCCTCCCTTCCATTTCCTTGTCAATGTGATAGCAATTATTGAAGCAGATGAACCAATTAGCCTTACCAACCAGGCAGCAGGAGAGGTACATCAGTGCATGTGAGGATTAAATGTCCTTCTCCTTAAGGCACAACATAAGATCCAGTGTGTGGGGGAGGGACATGGCCTAGAAGGTCACACACTCTGCTGCCGCCACATGCCACATGGGATGGCAGTGGACAAGAGACTTCACCTTGTTCAAGCTTTGTTTCTTTTTAAAAGTTACATTTTATTATTATTATTGTTATTATTATTATCTGTGGAGGTCAGAGAACAACTCTCAGGACTCAGTTCTTTCCTTCTACCTGGGTATTGAACTTAGGTCATCAGACTTGGTTGCTTTCACCTTCTGAGCTGTCTCACAGGCCCACATTGTTACTTTTGTAATTAAAAAAAAAATACAAGCGGAAAAGTTACCTTGCAGAAGTGGGCTAACTTCATGTAGTGCTGTGTGAGGGGCATTTGTGGTAGGCCACTGGCATCACTTTCTAGGAGTTAGGGAATGGCAGGACCTAAACTGCAGACCAAGAAGTTCCCAAAATCATGGTATTCAGACTTGGAAGGAAGCATTAAAAGTCATTTGAGGTCTGTGGGGGCTTAGTGGATGAAATGCTTGGTGTGAAATCATGAGGACCTGAGTTTGGATCCCTAGCACCCATGTAGAAGCTGAATGTGTTGGTGTGTATTTATAATCCCAGTATGGTGGGGAGGTACTGGAGACAGGTGGATGCTAAGGGCTTGCTGACTGGCCAGTCTAACCAAAATGATGAGCCCCAGGTTCAGTGAGAGACCCCATCTCAAAAAATAAGGTGGAGAGTGATAAAAAAGACACTGGACATTGACCTCTAGCCTCTACACATGCATGCATGCCTATACACAAACACATGCAGCACACGTATGTGCACACACACATACACACAAGTCACTTAGTTTAGCACCTTGTTCCCTTCTCCCTTTACCATCTGTCCTGAGGGTAACAGTTCCATGTGTGGGCCTCTGTATTTTTCCTACTCCTGCTTGGACACTTCTAGGGAAAACAGAACATCACAAATCTATACATTAAAAAAGGAGATAGGACTATGGGTTGGGAGTCCGGCTGAGTGGTAGAGTGCTTGTCTCACATGAAACCTTAAGCTCAATTCTCAGTGCTCCCCCCTCCTCAAAAAAATAGGTGGTAAGACTCTGTCTAGTAGTAGGGAATGGGAAGTTGTGGCTTGTACTCTTGAAGGACTGTCCATCACTCATGTGAATAGGGATTAAAGTAGACATGCTAATCTAGGGAGCTATCAGGAGGCCAAGGCTAGAACCCAGGATAAGGTGATCCAGGCCGAGCCAGGCAGTGACATGTGCTGGATCCAGGAAGAAATAGACTCCAGATGACAGAAGCCCCGTACCCGGTGACTACCTGACTACAACTTCTCCTCAGAAAACAAGAGGACAGAGGCTTGTGAGAGCCACTGGTGGAGTGATAAGTTCGTGAGATCGTTCTGTGTGTATATCCCCCAAAGCTGTGTAATGGAATGGGGCTAATGCAAAGCTGCTACAGGCCAGAAAACGGATTTTCTTTCTTCTCAAGAAGGGAGGGTACCTTTTAACTAGAGTGGGAAACTCCCTCTGCAATGAAGAAACATCAGTATTTCCCTGTGGGGGTTGCTGCCTCTGACATTGTCTAGTTAAACCTCTTGTTGCACTTCTTGGCAGAGTCAGGACTGGGTATTCTAGCCTCTGAAGTGTGGAGGTGGCAGAGGCTGGGCCCTTCACCGGAGCATCTGACTCTTCCACTTAATGATGAAGTTGGAAGTGGGCCTCCGGGGGTGAGTTTGGAGTGTGAGAGACTGTTACTTTAATGTTATTGCTTGGAGAAGGACCCAGATGCCTGCTTTGGAGCTGGACCACTAGAACACAATGGTGATTCTTTTTTTTTTTTTCTGATTTGGTTGGAGAATGTTCTTGTGGGGTACTCTGTTCTCCAGAGACCCCAGTTAAACCTGTGCTGGAGAGCCAGCAAACATCATGGTGTGTTCTGGAAAACTGCTGGGAGCTTTCCTTTCCAACTGAAACTAGATTGTGTGGCTCTCTGAGAGGGCTGGGGTGAGATGTTTTGATGACCACACTGACTGGAAAACAGGATAATGTGGGGGAAGCAAATGAGATTTGCACAGGAAACCACAAAGACAGAGAGAATATAGCTGCAAATGCTAAGTTTACTTTTCTTTTGTTACTTTACATATTTCTGGCTTTGAATGCAGCATTTCTTAAATCTTCATATTTACAAAGTCATAGGTCGAAACATTGTCTAATTATATGGGAACAAACTATAATCTCTCTCTCTCTCTCCCTTTCTTTCTCTCTCTCTCTTTCTCTCTCTCTGGCCATGACAATTTCGGTGTTGTTTTTTTCAATATATGTCAGGCTGGTGTTTCCCAGCAAACCCTGGTGCACCCTGACCCCAAACATTTGGTTTGGAGACATGGTTGGTTGTTATAGCTGGGAATGGCCTATATGCTATTAGCAGTTAGTGGGATGAGACCAAAGATGTTGCCATGGAATGTTTATTCCATGATGCACAGGACTGTGACTCCTTCACCACAGAGAACCATGCAGCCCAATGTGTTCATTGTCTTGAAGATGGAGAACTTCACATTAAGTGATTATGCAAATTCTGATTAGGAGCAAGTTCAGGTGAAAGGGAAGAGGAAGGGGAGGTGGCAAAGTGCCCCCTTCCCTCTTTAAAGTGTTGCATCTGATATCCAGAGGGAGGCCCAGCTCAGCAAGCCTGTCTGCCATCCCAGGGTTCCTTCAGTAGCTGGATTGTTCAACACAGTCATTTGGAACAGGAAGTGGAGGCTCTCATAGTGGCAAGAGGCTGGGGCGATGATTTGTGGAGGTATTATAGGCCAAGGGAGCAGCTGGGTCCTACAAGAATCATTTTGCAAAGTTCTAGGGCACTTTTCAAAGGTTGTTTTGCTGAGGACGTTGAACATGGTGCTTAGAAGATACAGTCTCTGCCTAGCAGCGCATGCCCTTCCAGAAGGCTGTGGCTCTGAAGGACTTTCTGATTGTCCTGTATCCAGATGCAGCATGGACAGCCACCAGCATAGTTCTGTTTTTGGGATATATATATGCCCTTTTTCCTACTTCCCTTTAATTTTTTAATTATAGAAAAATTTAACCATATACAAAAGTTGAAAAAAATAGTATAAATCCTATCCTGTAAATGACCATCTTCAGTGATTGTCAACTCCTGGCCACTTGTGACCTATATCCTATCTCTGTCTGTCCCCCCTGCTTTCCTGGTGTTGGGGATCAAACCAAGGGCCTTGCACATACTAGACAAGTGCTCTACTAGCATGCCCTCACAAAATATAGCACCAGACCCCCTAACCTTCTCTGGTTTTAAACCTAGAAATAGCATAAAAAGCTATTGCCTTGTTGAGCATGGTGGTATATGCCTTTAATCCCAGCACCCAGGAGTCA